CCGATGCAGGATTTCAGAGCTAGAGGTGAGGGTGTGAGTGTACAAGAGAGCCGGCAGGAAAAACTTAATAATTTTCAGTCTATGAAGTCTTGTCCACGTGAGTGATTTCTCCTAGAGTAAGGCCCTTTCCCGATCTGTGGTACTTTGCAGCTGGTATTTCAAGTATGCCCATCTGCATGTAAACGAATTGCTCCAAGACAATCTGATTATGCGCTAGTTACTTTGGTGAGAATAGCGTCTCAGTGGAATGGAAACTTCATTTTGAGTCTAATATTAGACCTTGCTTTGGAAAATTCCTTTTAAATGATCACAAGCTGGGAATAGCAAAAGAATTTAACTTTCGACAGACAGCGTTTACCAAGAATTTTTAACTGCTTATGTTGGGTCCTTGGGAAGGCAGATGTGAGAAACTTACCGATGGAATTGACTAGACTCAAGTTGACTTGACCTGCTGCAGGGTTTATATCTGCGGCTGATAAATTTCCCTTCTAGTCTCCTTTGCTCAAAATGTTTTCATTCTTTGAGCATGAACACACAAGGGATAAAAATTGTTAGCATGCCTGATTGTCTAACTATTCAGATTTCTAAGTCTGCCCATATTGTCACCCATACAGGGACTGAGGAGGGCCAGGACACAGAAGCCAGCTGACCCTCGGATCCCAAGCCATGTTCCTAGAGGCCGGTGTTTGGGAACTTGATCAGACCTGACCTGTAGCAGATTTCTTGTTAGGCTGTCTGGTTGTGTCTGTGTGAACCCACCTAATCTAAAATGTCAACTAAACCTTATTTAAAGCCCTTGTCCCATTACCCTGCCACTTAAAAGGTGTAAATGTTACGAGGGGCATGTTTAGCGTGCTCATGTGGTAGATGCTTGTCTAGCAAGTGAAAGATTCTGACTTCAACTCCACTACCACCAAAAACTAAAAAAGAATCCACAGATAGGGTGTGTGTGTGTGTGTGTGTGTGTGTGTGTGTGTGTGTGTGTGTGTGTGTGTGTGTGTGTGACACCTGATTTTGATAAAGTTTCCTGATACATTAGCTTAATTTAGGAATATGTTTTAGATGGGTTGGAATGGGGAAACCATATAGGTGTTTGAGAGATATATTTCACTATTTTGTTTTTTTTCCCCTGAAATTGAAGTGTACCTTTGTTTTTTTTGGTTATAATTTTTTTAAATCTTCTCTTTAGGTAGTTTTACAAAGGAGTTGTCATTTAACAATGCAGCTTATTCAGTGATGTATGATCACATATAAAATTGATCGTGTGTGTGTTTGATGTAATGGGGTATTTTTTCCCCCACTCACTAAGCTGGTCATAATTGATTGTGCCTTAAAATTGGAGACAAATAAAGTAATAAGTTATCACTTTCTCTGTCTCTTCAGGGTGCTAACCACCCTGTAGGGTGGTTAGCTGTACAAAACTGTACACAACTGTGTACAGTTATAGTTGTTGTGAGCTTAGTTTCGGGGAAAAGGAGACAGAATCTCAGAAATGTTCCATAGTTTGCCATCATCATCTGGCTTGAAAGGCTACCAAGTGGCAGTGCTAGAGGTCAAGTTCAAGATTGTTGAACTTGGGAGCTTGAGTTCTTCCCTTGCCTCCACCTTCAGCCACCAAAGCAACAATTCTTATGCTTTCTTATTGCAGGATCGCTTAGACTCTTACAAATCTTGGAGGATCCTTGAACTTTGGTTTATGTGGATTATGTCCTTTGATATTTACTTTGTGTTAAAAACTGTCATATTTAAACTATATTTACTTTTTACCTCATTTAAATAGGGTAACAATCCATTACATGTTAACCTAAATAACATTTTTATTTAAAATAGCCATATTATCCAAAACAGAAATAGTAAGGAGAATGTCTTTTGAATCTCTATTACCTAGCTGAATGGAATCAGTTCATGTTTTCTGCATTCAGTCTGTACAATGTTGTGTTTAGCTGAAGTATATGAGCAAAATCTGGCCTCACAGAGATGCATTTGCAGAAAGAGAAGGGTATTTTAACAGCCTGTGGACAGTTATGTGTATTCTCCTTTAATATACAACAAAACTCCCTAAGTGGTAGTTTCTTAAGTTTAAATGCATTTAGAATCTCAGATCCTACCAGTGGACTTTCTAAAAATTATTATTATTTCTGGTAGACTTAAAAAAAACTCAGTTCCATTAACATCTTTTGGTCTGAAATCTTTGCAGCAGAATTCAGAGGAATACATGTACAAATTCTCCTCTCCAGACAATATTGGTAGATATTCCAGAAAGTAAAGCTTAATTGCTGCTCACCACCATCCCCTTAGAGATAGGGTATACCAACAACTCACTTCCACAAATAGAATTAGGGCAAGAGAAAATGAATAGCTTACAGTGAAGAAACCTGGAAAATGCCACCTTAACCAAGTGACAAACCATCAGTGATGGTGGGAAGATGTGTAACCCCTGATTTGATGGAACTGGAAACCCAAACCCAGTCTCATCATGAGAAGAGTATCAGACATGCTCAGCTCAGGACATTTCACAGGAGTCCTGTCTTGTACTCAAGCTAGTCAGCATCTTGACAAATAAGACTAAGACTCAAAGGCTGGAAGATTTGACAACTGAATGTAATTTAATCTCTGCTTTGATTGGCTAATGAGATAATGAGACAGAAAGGGGAATTGGAGGTGGGGGTCAGGTGGTAGAGTGTCAGCCAGCTAGTCACAGAAAGAAAAGAAAGGAAGAAAGAAAGAAAGAAGTTTTTGGAAAAATTAACTCTGATGTTTATTTAATAATAGTGTTACTAATGTTGGTTTCATAGTTTGACAAATGTATTGTGGTAAGATAGAATTATGGGGTAATTGGGTGAAGAGTCTATAGGAGCACTATACTGTCTTTACAACTCTACTGTAAGTCTTTTTTTTTTAATTTAGAGAATTTATTTTGAAGTAATAAAAACTCCAGAATCTACTGTAAGTCTTAAACATTTCTTTAAAAAAATCCATTGTTGTTCTTTGTACTCTGAATGGATCATTTATGCATACATGATTTTGTAACATCATTACTGTATTCATTTAAAAAATACTGCTGCCAGGTGCTGATGGCTCACGCCTGGCTACTCAGGAGGCCGACATCTGATGATTGTAGTTTAAAGCCAGTCCAGTCAGGAAAGTCCATGAGATTCTTACCTCTAATTAACTACTAAAAAAAAAAAAGAAACAAAATAAGAACTAGAAGTGGAACTGTGGTTCAAGTGATAGAGTGCTAGCTTTGTGGCACAAAGGCTCAGGACAGCACCCAGGCCAAGTTCAAGCCCCAGGACCACACTGCTGCTAGCTGGGCTCTGGAGGCTCATACCTGTAATCCTAACTACTGAAGAGGCTGAGATCTGAGGACTGCTGTTTGGAGCCAGCCCAGGCAATAGTCTGTGAGACTCTTATCTCCAATTAACCACTCAAAAGTGTAAGTGGAGCTGTGGGTCAAAGTGGTAGAGTGATAGCTTTAAGTAAAAGAGCTCAAGGACAGTGTCCAGGCCCTGAGTTCAAGCCCTACCACCAAAATAAAAATAAGAATACTGCTTCACAAAATTTTGCAGTTCCTCAAAAAGTTGATGTCACAGTATGCAATATTTAAAAGCTGCATTTATTAATATCACCACCTTTTTAACTATTGAGAAGCTGTCAAGCTCATAGTGATAAGATACAACCTTCTCAGAATTCAAATTTTCTATTGGAATCTCAGTTTTTATCATTGATAGCAACTACTGCCCATGGTTTTCCTGCTCATTTTGTTCATTTTTGCAAAAGTGTCTGTGAAGTACCCACATCAAAATACTATAGTTTGGTCGTCATTCTTTCAAGTTCAAGTGTTCAGTGAGGCCTAGGATGTGCTTCAAGTGGTAGAGCACCTGGTTAGTAAGTTCAAACCCCAGTACCACTAACAAAAAGTGGCCTGGGCTGGGGGGGTAGGTCAGCAGTAGAGTGCTTGCCTTTCCCGGCATGTGTGAGGGCCCATGCCCAGCCCTGCAAAATGGAAAGAAAAATTGGCTGATAAACAAATGGCAACTCAGCCATACAAGTACCCTCCTTTCCTCAAGACAATTATTATACTTCAAAATCACAGAAGTGCTTATGGCCCATCCCTCTTTGTCAGGCGGATCATTAAAGGATGAAGTTTTAATGGTGTGAATGGTTTGTATTGCTTTATCAAGGACATTCTTCAGAGAAACAAACTCCGTTCTCTTACCATGTGTGCAGGGTGAACAGTGAGCATGGGTACCATGCCTGCCCATGACCTTGCCACTGGTGCCAAATAAGGCACGTTTGCACAAATACTAGCAGGAGCTGGTGGAGCTGATAGTGAAGACCAATACCACTTGAATATCCTTAGGAGAATGGTTTGGCCTCACCATTATCCTGGTGGTCCTGGGGATCCTGGAGGCCCACAGACAACCCTTGGTCAGTGGTGTGCTGCGCATGTCAAGCAACTTGATGATGTTCTGGCTCATTTTCATGCTTTCAATAGCTCAGGAAGCTTTTCCACACAGCTATGCTATTCTGCACCATTTTAAGAGGCTAAAACATAGTCTAATGAAATTTGGTAGCAAAATTTTGCTGCATAAACATTTGCTGTTACATTTTTATTTTTATTTTTATTTTTATATTTTTTGCTGGTCCTAGAGTTTGAACTCAGGGCCTGGGCACTGCCCCTGAGCTTCTTTTGCTTAAAGTTAATACTCTACCACTTGAGCCACAGTGCTCCTTCTTGGTTTTTCTGAGATGTTTATTGGAGATAAGAGTCTCTGCTGGGTGCTGGTGGCTCACGCCTGTAATCCTAGTTACTCAGGAGGCCGAGATCAGAGGATCATGGTTCAAAGGCAGCGGGGGCAGGAAAGGCCGGGAGACTCAGTCACCAGCACCCGCACTGTTTCTCCTTTCCTTTTTTTTTTTTTTTCCCACTAAAAATATATGACATGAAATTTGGGGAATCCAGAAAATCATGTTGTAAAACTTTCTTTTCTTTAAAGGTAAATCTCATCTGGCCATTGTGCAGCGGGTAAACAATGAAGGAGAAGGAGACCCATTTTATGAAGTTCTGGGAATTGTCACCTTAGAAGATGTGATTGAAGAAATCATCAAATCTGAGATCCTAGATGAAACAGATTTATACAGTGAGTAGTGTTGTCTGTATCATTTCCCCAGACCTTTGCTTTTCCCATCGTGATGGTTTCATGAGTCATCTGCTATTTCCCCCCTCGTTGGATACCTTTGTTTACAATTATCATGACAGGTGGAGGCTGGTATAGTCTCCCGTCTCTTCCAGCCTCTTCATCAAGGGCACCAAAGAGGCCAGTTCTGTGACTTCAAGTGACAGTATTCTTTTGACAATCCTGCTGCTTCTATCTCTGCTTATTCCTAGTCTGAATCATAGAACTTCTGCTCTTACATTGCTCTGTGCTAATTTGTTCTTCAATTTCTTTCTTTCTTTCTTTTTGTGCTGATACTGGGACTTGAACTCAGGTCCTCTTTCTCTTAGCTGGCTTTTGGGCTCAAGGATGGAACTCTACCACTTGAGCCTCACCTCCACTTCTGGCTATTTGCTGGTTAGTTGGAGATAATAGTCTTATAGATTTTCCTGATTGAGCTGGTTCAGATCTAAGTCCTCAGATCTCAGCCTCTTGGGTTGTGGTGCCTGGTTAGGTTTCAGGTATATTCTTTTTTTTTTTTTTTTTTTGGTCAGTCATGGGGCTTAAACTCTGGTCCTAAGCACTGTCCCTCAGCTCTTCAGCCTCATGGTTAGCATTCTACCACTTGAGCCACAGCACTACTTCCAGTTTTCTGGTGATTTATTGGAGATAAGAGTCTCCTGGCCTTACCTGCCCCAGCTGGCTTTGAACCACAATCCTTAGAGCTCAGCCTTCTGAGCAGCTAGGATTACAGGCATGAGCCACCAGCACCTGGCTAGGTATATTCTTGATCTCAATAGATCAGTAATGATGATGACAGCTGCTACCCTTAGAAAGCTATTTTTGTTTTGTATTGATTCACACTGGCTGATTCTCCAAATAATTTGAGACAGAAGTAAAATGTAAGGCAATGATTATCTTCTCCCTAGAACAGTCTAAAAATTTGTTTTTCCCTGGCAAGAATTTAAAGTGCAGGGATATGATTCTTGAGGAAAAAGAAGGCAATGGGGTCTTATCTTTAAACCAGTATTTTTTCCAGATCATTACTTTATCCCCCCAAATACTTGAAATAATGGTTTTGCTTGAGATACCATCTAGATTTGGGTTGGTACGCAACAACCCACAAGTGTCTACCAAATGATTTTGTATGCCCTGAAAGCTAAGAATGGCTTTTCTATTTTTAAATTATTGGGGGGGGGGAATCAAAAGAAGAATAATTTACTTTGTGACATGTAGACAGTAAGTGGAATTCCAATTTTCATGTCCATGTGTAAAGTTTCAGCGTGCTCATTCATTTACACTATCTGCTCTTTCTAAAAGGGAAGTGGAGTTCTTGCAATCGAAACTCTAGCCCACAGAGCCTAAAATATTTACTCTCTGGCCCTTTCCCCAGGAAATTTGCTCACCCCTGTAAGTCGATCGCTCGCTCTGTGTTTGCTTGACCTTGAGGATCTCATGGTCTGGAGCAGAAATGAAGCAAACATGATGAAGATAGTATTCTGTGAATGCATTCTTGTTTGTTTTGTGAGGGGTCTTGTTAGTGTGTTTATTTCCTTACAGCTGAGACTGTGGGGGTTGTTAAAGGTAGAGACAACTGCCTGCCGGGGCAGCCCCGTGTTGATTCTTCCCTAAATGCGTGGTGACATGGAGTGAGGAGACCACGCACGTGTGCGCTTTAGTCCCACCCAGTCTGCTGTAGGTTCCGTGGGGGCTTCTGTCCACTTCCCTCTTCCCATTTACATGTGGCATCTGAGACAGCTCCCACCCCCTTTCCAGTGGATTTCAGCTCTTCTCTCCCCAGAGAGCCCTGATCTAATGGATTGTGTTTTCTGATTTTCCCATTCCTCCTCAGCTGATAATAGAACGAAAAAGAAAGTGGCTCATCGTGAAAGAAAACAGGATTTTTCTGCCTTTAAGCAGACAGACAGTGAGATGAAGGTTAAAATATCACCGCAGCTTCTCCTGGCCATGCATCGTTTCCTAGCAACAGGCAAGTGTGCTTATCGCAGCTGGAGATCACCGCCAGCCCTGAGCCTTTCCTCACCGCTGCTGACTGGGGGGGCTGGGGATGGAGACTGGGAAATGGGGTAATAAGTAATGCCACTTTTGTGTTTTGTTTTTGTTTTCTTTTGTTTTGTTCTCTTTAAATTCTCTCCTCTCCTGTGTTCAGTGTCGGCATGGTCCCTCTGAGACACTTACCAGAGGTGGAGCAGTAACTTAAAATTGGTCTGAAGGTAAGGATGAATGTTAGTGCCACACTGCATGTGCACATAGGCCAGGTCATCTCCTTCCAGCTAAGGAGCTCCACGCCCTCCCTGGGAGGGCAGCTGGCGGAGTAGGCTGACAGGCACACCAGACACCACCTCGTTTGATTGGACAGTTGAGTAATTCTCTCTTCAGCTTGCCTTGGAAGAACACTTGGACATCAGTGGTCACACAGGCGCTATGATTTGCAAAGAAGATTAAAAACAAACAAAAGTAGATTTTGAGAATTAAATCCTTAACTCTTATGGCTTTGATGAAATGAGAGATTCTAAGGACTTTGACATGGATTTCATGGTGGCCTCTTCAGATCAGATTACTAACTTGGGTCCATTCCAGGAGGCAAATGTTCACATTATTTAAAGCCACCAGGCCAGCCGGCACTGACTGCTCCCGAGAGGTCAAGGTTGAATGGATTTAAGAGACTGACTAAACCCTCTCACATCCCACATGGCCTTGTAGGTGAAGGGTGAGCTCTGATGGCCAGGGGAAGTGTGAAAAAAATCTGAATGTACCCAGAGGCTTTTGTAGAAGACGTCTGTTTCCAGGATGGTCAGCCATTACCTGTCAACTGTATGCAGTGTACTTACAGTATTTTGCAAAGAAGGCTAACAGCGATCACGTGACCGGATGTTACCTACGCTTTCAGAACACATTTTCTGAGACATGGAAATGCTCACAGTTAATATTTATGCCATAGCAAAGTATCCATGACTTAGTGGAAAGTGGGGGAAAGCCAGAATGTAAAAGCGTTAAGATTATAGTGACGATTTTGTGTGTCATGCACACACATGCACACAGACACACAAGCCTGGGCAAAGCACTGGAAAGAAATACTCACCAAATTGTTCCGAATGGTTATCCAAGTGGTTGGCTCATAGATCATTTTTTATTTTCTTTATATTTTCTGTATTTTCCAAAATTTCTGCAATGTACTGTCTTATTTCATTATTGGAAAAAGTCACAGAAGTGAATGCAGAATTTATAGCTTCCTATAGAGCATCACATTTTTTTAAAAAAAATAAAAAAAGTGATACCTGTAACTTGCTTATTATTCTTTTCCTAATTCTGAGACGATTGTTCCTCATCAAGGAAGAACCACACATTAAACCTGAATGTTATCCTACTCTGCCTCTGAGCAATCATAAAGTCCACTTCTCCAATAGCACCCTCAGTCCGTAATCTTGATTTTTTTGTTATTTTCAATAAAGTTACTACCATTGTAAATGCTGACCAACATTCCATTTTTGTTGGCAAGTTGGAGTGCATGTTGATGTGTGCACGGCCTTGCTTTTATTCCACATCTCTCCCTCAGTGGTCCCTGGAATTTGTCAGGCTAGCGGAGAACGAGAGGCGTCTGCACCGGTACTAACCCACCATCAGCGCTTCCACCGTGGCTTCCTCCCTTGCCTGTTGTTGGGCAGCCAGGCTGTGGTGGCTTGTTGGAGGGTGTCCTGGCGCTCAAGGACCCTGTTGCTGGTTGGTTTCCATTTCCATCAGTTGGAAACGTAGAGCACACTTTTATGAGACTGATGCCAATGACAGGTTGAAATGATTTTTTAAAAAGGAACAAATGCAAGCATTCAGCATTTTCTGATTTCTCCCAGGTAATCTGTCCCCAGTGGATCAGCACATGGAAGTCTCGTGCACCCAGGTTCTATTCATATGACCCGAATACCTTAATAACTAGCATGATTTTTTTCCATCCGTTTGAAGTGTAATGTCAAGTTGTGTTTATGTCTATAGAAGTAGAAGCATTTAGCCCATCCCAGATGTCAGAGAAGATCCTTCTAAGGCTGCTAAAGCACCCCAATGTCATCCAGGAACTGAAGTATGATGAGAAGAACAAGAAAGCCCCAGAGTACTACCTCTACCAGCGAAACAAACCTGTAGACTACTTCGTTCTCATTCTGCAGGTCAGAGGAATTATTCAACCGTTGTCTTTTCAGCTCAGAGAAGGCCTGGTTTAGGTGAATGGGCCTTAGCTTGCCTTATAAGGGGAGAATTTTCTCTCTCTGTTTTCATAGTGGTGACTCGATTATAAAATGATGTCATTAATTATTTTGATTTCTAATACTGAAAGGTGCACAGTGATGGCTGAGGGGCTGAGCCCATGCGAGAATGATGAATGTGGTTGTTCACATTTTTGAAGAATTTGGGGAGGTGCTTATTCTTGTCCAGTCGTGGGTGTTTGAAATTTCTTGTCATAGGTTTCTGGTTCCTTTCTGTATCATTTTTGTTCCCATCCCTTGTTAGGACTCTTACATTAGCACCGTTCTTAGTATTAACATAGCACTCACTGTCATGTTTATTCCTGGTTACTAATTAGACCTTGAAGAGGAACTGATAAAGTAATGACAGGACCTTGAGAAGATAGCAGATGATTTCTTCTCACTAAAGTGATGTAATCCCATGCCCGGGACCGGAAGGTCATTCATTGTGGACCCTCTCTGGGGCTTTCCACTTGAGACCTTATATCACCTTGAAATACATTTATTTTGGTCAGTCATGGGGCTTGAACTTGGATCCTGGGTGCTGTTCCTTTGGCTCAAGACTAGTGCTCTACTTTGAGTCACAGCTCCACTTTCAGTTTTCTGGTGGTTAATTGGAAATAAGAATCTTGTGGTCTGTCTTGCCTGGGCTGGCTTTGGACTGCAGTCCTCAGGTCTCAGCTTCCTGAGCAGCTAGGATTGCAGGCCACCAGCGCCCGGCTCGCTTTGATGAATTAACAGGTGCTATCGTCAGATCAACAGAGCATTACAATGAAGGTAATCCTGCTCTCAGATACTTCTTGTACTTCTTTATTGAGGAACTGCTTTTTCAGGAAATCTGAGTTTATATTACTACCAGAATACTAGCTCTTAAACTTTCTCATATTTCTTGTTTACTCCTAAGTGGAGGTATCATTTCAAGAGTATAATTAGTAGTTGGTAGGCCCTAAAATTTACATGAGTCTAGCAAGACCCTAGTTATCTAACTGAATTAAGAAAGTTATTCTTATTTGAAAATAACTAGCTGAGGGTGGTGGCTCACACCTGTAATCCCAGCTATTTAGGAGATAGAGATCAGGAGAATTACAGTTCAAGGTTAGCCCAGGCAAAATGTTAGCCAAATCCCCATCTCAGCCAATGTCTGGACAAGATTGTGCATGCTGTCATCCCAGTTAAACATGAAGAATAAAGAGGAGGATTAAGGTCCAGGCCAGCCCAAACAAAAAATACCAGGATGTTATTCAAAAAAATAAAGCACTAGGTGCCAGTGGCTCTCGCCTGTGATCCTAGTTCCTCAGGAGGCTGAGATCTGAGGATTGCAGTTCAAAGCCAGTCCAGGAAGGAAAGTCCATGAGACTCTAATCTCCAATAAACTACCAAAAACCCGAAAAGCCCAGAAGTGGGGCTCTGTCCCAAGTGGTAAAGTGCTAGCCTTGAACAAAAAGCTCAGAGGCAGTGCCCAGGCCCTGAGTTCAAGTACCAAGACCAGCACAAAAGAAATGAAAAGAAACAGAACAAAAGAAAGGAAAGGAAGGAAGGAAACAAGCAAGCAAGCAAGCAAAAAGGACTGTTGTATGACTCAAATAGTAGAGTGCCCGCCTAGCAAGCAAGCACAAGGCCCCAAGTTCAAACCCCAGTACCAAGGAAAGAAACAACATTATTCTTCTCAGGTGTGAATGTTCAGGTACTGACAGGTTTGCATTCTTGTAGGACCTCTGTGTGTGTGTGTGTGTGTGTGTGTGTGTGTGTGTGTGTGTGTGTGTGTGTGTGTGTGTGTGTGTGTGTGTGTGTGGTATTCTTGTGTCTGGAAATGAGTGAAGGTATAACTGATCATATCATCCCACTTGCTTATAGGTTTCTTAGAGACTTCTGTCTCCAGCCTTACTAATCACAACCTTACTATGATTCTTCTATTAACTCTAGTCTTATTTGATAGCTTTGTTTTCTTTGAAAATACATAAGCTCAAAACTCTGAAGATACCAAAGGGAGTTTATTTTATTGTTTGAAATGAGGGGTTTGTAAGAGAGCTGAATGTGACTCTTCTGTAAGCCTAGAGAAACTGAATTGCATTAAAAACTTTCTTAGGAATTGTGTGGACTGAGATTGTTGAATTACTGGGCTGTTGGCGTGGCGCAGATGGCTAGGCATGGCCTAGCGAGCTCAAGGCCCTAAGTTCAAACCCTTGTACTGTTCCCTCCAAGAGAAAGAAAGGAAGAAGGAAAGAGAGAAAGAGAAAGGAAGGAAAGTAAGGAAGGAAAGAATGAAGGAAGGAAGGAAAACAAAGAAAGAAAAGAAGAGAGAGAGAAGACTTCAATTGCCTGAGTTATATGATTAGTGGTATTTAATTGTGACTCAGTAATGCTCTATTGATCTATAATAAGAAAGCCATGGGTCTTAAAATAAATGTTAGAGAACAGGGACCTTATATGTTCTCCAATTTCAAGACAGTCTTTTAACTACAGATACTTTTTTGATGTCATTTGTAACTGTGTAACTCTATCTGAAGACCTTTTCATGTTAGATAGTTATATCAGGGTCCATAGTTTGTTGAGCTGATGTGTGGGAGTTTTATAAATAGTGTGTGTGTCTGATAAACAGGCCTGTGGAGGTATTGAAATGCTGGAGTTTGGCAAAAGTCATGTTCTTGCAGACTAGCCAATTACCCAAGGTACCCAGAGAATAACAGAGTGAAATACCATGACACCTCCATCAATCTGGTGCAGTTCTTATCATGTGCCAAGTACATTCCACCCTACAGTTTTGCACTGCAACCCTGGGAATTCAGGCAGCCTGTACAGCCTGCTTCCATCTCTTCAGGAACGTGGAGTCAGCAGTCCTTGCCCTCCCTGCCCAGCCTCAGTGCAGCTAAACTCCTTACCTAGCTGATCTTGGGTAGAGAAGTGTGTGTGTGTGTGTGTGTGTGTGTGTGTGTGTGTGTGTGTGTGTGTGTGTGTGTGTGTGTGTGTGTGTGTGAATTGTGCCAGTACTGGGGCCTCAAGCTCTTGCTCACCTTTTTCACTCAAGGCTGGCATTTTATCACATCTACCACATCTTTACTTCAGGCTTTTTACTCATTAATTTGGAATAAAGTCTTTTTGACTTCTCTGCTCAGGCTGATTTTGAACCTCTGTCCTTCTGATCTTAGTCTCCTGGGTAGCTAGGATCACAGGTCCCAGCCACCAGTGCCCAACTTCAAAATGTATCTTTTAAAGTGAAATAAACATGGCCAATGAAAACAGCACAATAAATCATGACAAAAATTGGTTCTACATGTCTTGTGTGTATGTGTATGTGTGTGTATATGTGTGTGTAGAAATTGAAAGGAATATAATTTTGTTAGAATTATTTTTCCACCATCATAAGAAAAGACCAAGAAAAAATTATACAATGGTTTTAAATTGTATAACTAAAGCCAAAGAAATCCCTTTTAAAAAATTATTAAATGACTCATAAAGATTAGGCACTTAGGGCTGGGAAGGTGGCTCAGTGGTAGAGCGCTTGCCTTGCGTGCATGAGGCCCTGGGTTTGATTCCTCAGCACCACATGAGCAGAAAAAGCCGGAAGTGGTGCTGTGGCTCAAATGGTAGAGTGCCAGCCTTGAGCTGAAGAGCGAGGGACAGCACCCAGGCCCAGAGCTCAGGCCCCATGACTGGCAAAAAAAAAAAAAAAAAAAATAGGCACTTATATTTTATCCCAGTGTATATTCTAGTGATAGAAAAAGAGAAATGTCATCAATCTCTGCATAGATATTAAGGAAACTAAATCAGCAATAAAGAGTAGATGATTAAAAAATCACTAAGCCAGATTAAAATTGTGATAACCTCTCTTCCTCAGGTTTTTATGTAACGTACAGAACTTTGCATATAATATGTTCTCTTTTGAGTGAAAGAAAAGCTGCACCTGTCTGTGTGGGAAGTTTCTCAGGTAGTTACTCAAGAACCTGACCATCGTTCCCACCCCAGGCAAGGCTTAGGCTGGCGATGGAGCAGGTGGAAGTCTTTCTTGCTGACACAGTTTGAATTCCTCACCACAGTTGCGTGCTACCTCTTTAAATAATTATAAAAATACAACTGATAGTCAATTAGAACCCTAAATAGCAACTGAGTTAAGGCGAGAATAAACAGAATATATTGAAATATATAGTATTATAAAATACTTTTTTTGTTGTTGTTGTTGTTAGTCATGGGGCTTGAACGCTGGGTCTGAGCACTGTCCCTCAGCTCTTCAGCTCAAGGCAAGTGCTCTACCACTTAAGCTATAGCTCCACTTCCATAAAATACTTTCAAGATAATATATTTACTATAAACACCCAAGTGTTTGTTTCTCTAAGTACTCAAATAAAAAGATAGAGAACTAAAATTATCTTCAGAAAAAATAAACAATAAACTAAAGCCAAACAAATTAGTAAAAATTATTAGAAAAATAAACTGAAAAATGAGATACTGGTAGGGTGGCCTAAGTAGTGGCCCTGAATTCAAATTTTAGTATTGTCAAAAAAGGAAAAGAAAAAGGAAAGAAAAGTCTTACAATCCATAAATAAATTAATATTTGGGTCTTTCAAGAAATTAACAAAATTACTGGGTGTCAGTGCTTCATGCCTATAATCCACGCTGCTCAGGAGGCTGAGATCTAAGGATTAAGGTTAGAAGCCAACCCAGGCTGGAAAGTCCATGAGACTCTTATCTGCAATTAAGCTCCAGAAAAGCCAGAAGTAGGACTGTAGCTCAAGTGTAGAGTGCTAGTCTTGAGCACATAGACAGAACTTGGTCCTGAGTTCAAGCTCCAACACACACACACACAACTCTCTCCTCTCTCTTTCTCCCCCCAAAGTTAACAAGGTCAGTGTTTTCTTGACATAATTAATATAATTAAAACAAAGGAAGAAAAAAAATGAGACCAAGTCCCTCCCTCCCTTGCTGTGTAC